TTTTCTTCTCTCTCTCTCTCTCCTCCTCTCTCTCTCTCTCTCTCCCTCCTAAGCATTTCCAATTTTTCCCATATCGCTCATAGCCCAATGATTTTGATGAAAATTTTCAAAGTGAAAAGTTATGATCAGCAATAATTCATGAATCATTTTTTTTTTCTCTTTTTTTACTCTTCAAAATAATGACAATATTCTAGCATTACCAAAAAAAGCGAAACGATAGGAGGATGTATTAGGGATGGAAAAATTTCTTTTTTTTTTTAAATTTTATTTTTTTTATTTTTCAATTACTATTTAATTCAATACAATTCTGTTTATTTTAATTTTCTCCAATTCTGTTTGTTAAGATTATTTTCTGGTGAGAATTTGAATGCAATTTAACAATGATGGTTGACAATGACAGTTGACAACAATAAGACACTTTTCATGTGTGGTATAAATACAAACGATTTGTATTTTTGCAAGGAACAAGGAAATTTTATAGTTGAAAAATTTATCATTGTCGCATCAAATTTGTCATTTCGATAAAGAAGACGAAGAGGAGGAGAAGATGGAAAAGCATTGAGATTACTACTACTGGCTTCATTGATTAATTGCCCAGTTTTTGTTGCACTATTTAGGGTTCATTTTTAATCAGCCAACTAACTAACTAACCAATTGACCAAACCACCACCACAACCACCATCACCACAACTACCACTACCACCACCACCACCATCACCATCATCACCACCACCACAATCCACTATCACTTTCTTGCAATTAATTTTAATCAAAATTTATCTGACCTTTTGAAATTTCAAATTTGCATATTTCGATTTTAATTTCAACTCTTTGTCTATATATATATATATATTCTAAATTGTCCTATCTTATACCAAAAAAAATAAAAATAAATAAAAAATTAAAAATTGAAAATTAAAAATTAAAAACAAAGGATCGACAAGAAGTTGATTTCAATTTTAATTTCTCGTTGCGTAAAAACCTTACAGAGTAATTGTTTCATCATGGATTTAGTAATAATATAAGCAGTATAATTCGTCCACTTAATACAATTATATTCTTAAGCAAAGTGTCAACTTGTCCCATTTCAATTATTTCATCTATCTGTCCTTTTTCGTTTACTTTCATCTATCCCACCTCCGTTGCAATATAATTAAGAAGATTTGATATTAAAAGATAGCTAATATCATAACTGAATTAATTCTATCATTGATTTTCTAATGCTATTCCCCTATACTTCCAAGTCTATACTTTATGTCTAATTAAAAAAGAAAATAAACCTTAGGCTATTTATTTGTTCCATTTTTCTTTCATTGAATAAAGATTTTGATTGGTTTATTTATGGATAAGAAAAAAAATGCAAGCAAAATTAAGTTAAACTGAAAAAGTTTGACAATGATTGGTCAATAAATTGGTCATATATTTGAAAATGATTTAAGGAAATTAAAATTGTGAATGAAAAAATGATTTGATTGTTTTTAAAAAATTAATGTTCAAACAAGGAAATTTCGGAATTTCTTTTGCTTCCATTCTTATCAAACCTTTTTTTTTTTTTTTCTTTTACTAACTAA